TACTGGAAAGCATGACATTTGGAGTCAGGCAAAAGCAGGTGTGGATTAGGGCTCTGTCTGCCCTTTCCTAGCTGTGCAAGTCTGTGTGTATATTTCAATCATTCAAGCCTGTTACCTGTCCACAGAGAGTAATAATGCCTCCCTCCCATCGTTCCTTGTCCCATGGTAAATGCACAGCAAATGCTAGTGAAAACATGTGAACTCTGCATTTTAAACTAGGAAAAATCCTTGATTTGTGAGGTTTCTTACACAGATCTTTCATTGTCATTCACAGCATCCAAATACCTTTACTATTAAGACCAGCTATTTGCCCTGCATATATGAAGAGTTAAATTTTCATCACACACTTACTAAATAAGTGGATGTTTTTAACATCTCCAGAATTTTTTTTTTTTTTTTAAATTGGGAAGCTTGAAAAGCAACTTGTGGGTTTGAGTCCAAATACCCCTGTTCGGCTAAAACAGGTGGCAGCAACACTTGGAAATATTATTTCTACGAACTTACTGGCCGCAGAGCTTGCCCGGCCGGGGAACATTCTGACCTTCTTCCTTGGAATGATAACTTTTTGCCTTTGTCGGCACATCTCTGGGCTCTCCTCCAGTACCTAAACGATGGTCCTTCTCTCTTGTCATGTAGTCGCCCTGGGCGGGCCTCAGTGCCTGGGTGCCCTTTGCACTGGTGTGCTGTGTCAGGTGCCGTGGATGGACTGGATGTTCCTTGGGGGAATGGGGAGGCAGGAGGTGGGAGGGGAAGAGTCTGTCATCATGCTTAGCAAGAGGTGACCGTGCTTGACAGATCGGGGACGAAGGAGAGGCTTCCCCCTCTCCCTGGGGGAAGTCCTCGGCATCTGTGGTCCTCTCTGATCTGTCACACTGATTCGAGAGCCAGTGGGGAACTTCCAGGGTGGGGTGGAGGTCGGACATGGTGGTGGCAGGACCCATGACCAAATGTAGTTTTTGATTTGGGGCAAAGACCAAATGATAGTGAATTGAGTCCAGGAGTATTGGAAGCAGGACAGTGGGTGAGGAGCACTCTGCTGAGATTCTCAGCTGTGAGGAGAACATGGAATGGGAGGTGAGGCTCAGAGTGAGACCCAGGGTCAGGGGCTGGCTTGCATTTACTTGTTGGAGATGGATAAGGTCCCCAATGACCCGGTCTTTTCCAGATCATGGTAGCACATTTTTGTCTTAATGAACTGGCCTTTTAACTGCTTGAACACTGTGAATTCTGTCTCCAGTGAACAGCTTTCTCCTGTTCCTGGGCCTTCTGCCTGTGACTAAGAAGGGGTGAGAAGGGGTTATTTCTTTAAATGGTTGCATTTTCTGGGGTCTGTCCTTGCCTTCTGGTCCTTGACTTCTTTATTTTGCACTTTCTTGGGCATATCTCATTTACACTCATGATTTCAGCTGCCACACTTGTAGCGTAAAAGCACCTGGACTGTAAGTTCTCTCACCTCCCACATGGCTTTCCCTGGATATCCCCGTAATTCCTGTTCTGCTTCCTAATATTGCCCCCTCGCCCCCCAGCCGAGGCCAGAAGCCCGTATGCCATTACCTTTCTCTGTTCCTCCACCCTGTGCAGCCAAACAAGTCCCCAAGTACTATTGATAGTGGTCTTCAAAACCACGGCTGCAAGTGTGCATCCCTGTGCTGCTCTGACACCTACTTCTGGAGCCCTGCACCGGAACTCCAGACTTGGAAACTCACGAGACTTAGGCGTGCATCATTTGGTATAGCTTCCCTGGAGATTCTGAGGCTTACCTGGCACTGAAAACAACGCTCTGAAATGTTCATCTCATCTTCTGACACCTTTCCTCGCTGCTTTGGTTTAGGCTGTTAACGTTTCCTGTAGCTATCAGGACCAGTTACCACTGACGACGTGGCTCAAGACAGCAGAATGGATTCTCACGGTTCTGGAGGCCTCCATTCTGGAACCATGGTGCTACCAAGATCGTGCTGTTGCTGGGGGCCCTAGGGGGCGGGGTCCTTCCTTGTCTCTTCCCGTTTCTGGTGGCTGCGGGCGTTCCTTGGCTCGTGATTGTCCAATTCCAGTTTCTGCCTCTCTGTTCACATGGGCCTGTGTGTCTCTTACAAAGACCCTTGTTACTGGATTTAGAACCCTCCAGTAACCTAGGATGATTTCATCTCCAGAGCTTTAACTACATCTGCAAAGACCCTTTTCCCAAAGGATCTGGGACATGGACCTATCTATTTGGGGTCCACCATTCAACCCAATACACTTCCCTATGGTTCGGCTAGTTGTCCCGTCTGATGATCTTGCCTCTAATCTGGCTGTCCATCCTGCGCCGTGCTGTCTCAGCATTTACTTTATGTCCAGTCACGTTAGTCCTTTGCATAAATCTTACCGGCTCCCTATTCTCCGAAAAAGCCATACCCTCGTGGAATGCCAGGCTCTTGTCACCTGGCCCCTGCCTTTTACCCTCAGGCCTGCTACTTCTCTTACCTTGAACTTGATGCTCTCACAGTACTGAACTACCTACACTCCTTGCCTTTGTATGTACTATTGCCCTGTATTCCCATTTAGTCTGGTTCACATTTTGAGACCATTCACACATTGTCTCTTCCATGAAGCCCTCCCTGACGCTTCTTCCCACGAGCTTTGTGCAGTAGTTCATTTTGTTGCATACAGGTCTTATCACACTTGTTCTTATGCCTTTCTCTGCTCTTAAGTGGAGAGATCTGAAGACCAGGAAGCTGATATTCATCACTGTAGTTCTAGGACTTGGCATTTTTAATATTGAATGAATGGCCATGTAGCTTCACCTAATTAGAAACTTGTCTCATTGTGACACATGTTTTCGCACCATCACCTTAATTATTTTCAATAGGATTTTTCACCAATCACTGTTTAGCTGTGTTGAGTGAGTAGGTAATCCGTATGTAGATGGCATGGTGTTTGCTTAACCTGCAGTATCTTCTTCTATGCTCAGGAACTCACTTAAAACGTTTCTGCATATGTTAAGGTGGTACTAATTTTCATGCCCCCCCCCTTTATATTAGATAGGACTTTGGGGTTGTAGGTAGCAGAAACCAACTTGAGTTAGCCAAAACTAAAGAGGATGTCATGAACAAGGGTCAGAGTACAACAGGGCCAATAGCAGCCCTGAGCCTCTTCTTTGTATCTGGCCGCTGGTCTCTGTTCATCTGCTTCGTTCCTCACTTCTCTGCCGCTGCATCATGTGACAGGTTGGGACATCCGCACAGTTGGTGCACTTACATCATACAGCTCTGGCCATCCCCAGACACTGGCTGCTTTTCCTCTGTCCCAATTTTGTGTTTTCCACTATGAGCATGTCCTTGGCCAATGTGGGCCAGATATCCACCCCCAGCCATTCAGCTACAGTGTGGTGGGGAGGGTGCTGGCCTGGCCATTTCATTCAGACATGGTACTAGGGTTCACCTGAGGCCATTAAGGGATGGGTTCCTGAGAAGGGTGTGTAGTCATGAGTCGATCCCTAAAAGGCATCTGACATCCTCTTGCTGCGTTGGATCTTCTCAACCTGCAGTATGTCATGGAAAGATGGGACAGGGAGCTGGGGAGACGTGAGAGGCTCGGGAAACCCTGCCAGATCTCTGTGGGGAAACGTTCCTCTAAACTGTTGAGTGTCCTAGCTTTAATTGATTTACATATGTTTCTCATAGAATGTTCATCTTGATTTAAGTGATTTGGAAATATATTAAAACAAAGTAGGTTTATGATGGTGGTTTACTCACGGATGCTTTCATTATAGTAGCAATCACGAATAATGTGTAAGAAAACAGTGCATGTTTTGATCTTGCCTCAGAAAGAAGAGACTTGAAATAAATCATCTCTGTATTCTAGAGACACTTTTATGTAGCTGATGTTCCTTTGTGATGGAAATGGAACAGATTAAAAACACAGCAGGAATAACTTTAAGTGATGATTTAAATCCATTGTCAAACTGTAGCTACTGAATTATAAAACAAAAAAAATTCTTTGTTCTGACTTTTACTGTTCATGAGCCTGAGGGCCCTTCTGCCATACTGCCCACCACGTTTTGGGTGTGGCTCAACGGGAGGCAAAGGCAGGACTTTCAAGTTGAAAAGAACTTCTCCCAAGAAGGGGATGGAGAACAGTCCTGTCAGCGTGGTGACAGGAGACATTGGTCAGAACATACAGGGACCCATTAAATCCAGAGTTAGAAATACAATTGAAAATTAAAAAAAAAAAAGAACAGAAAACAGAAATACCAAGTGCAATCCTGCATTTCTTTTAAACACTGGGATTAGCTTAAGGTACTAATGTGGGAAATCAGCATTAAGGACTTTGTTTTTTTTCCAGATGACTTTTTAAGTTATTTGACAGTTTGGACTAAAACTTTTTTTTTTTTTTTTTTTCTGGGCCTCTTTATGGGCAACCTTCTTGTGAAGTCCTGTTTTATGTTTAATTTTCACAAGGTATTTTTGCTCACCTGACAGCTTAAAGGTTCAAATAGAAATGAGAATGAATGTGGAGAATTCAGAAATTTTAAGACTGCAACTAACTGAATTTGGTCTTCTTACAAATAAAGATCCTAAAGACATTAACGTGATTTGGGAGTGAGAGATGAGGTTTAATTAGTATGCTATTTTCTAACTAGTTCATTTAAAAATATTTCTTGAGTGTTTCTCTGGGGTCCATTAGAACAACACTTGCTAAATTGAGCCAGCACTAATCCAGCCTCTGCAGAATTCTCATTTGCTTATTTATACTGTCTCTTTCCAAAAAGATTTGAAGAGTCTGACTTTATAGAATAGGAAACCTATAATTACTTTGTACATCACTCTTAAATTAAGTTTCTGGAAGTGATTTGAATTTCATTACAGCTGAAGTTGGTTTTGCAGCTCATTCCTTCTGTGGGGTGTTTAGTGGGCAATTTTTTTTTTTTTTAATGATCATCCCTGTCTTTTTCTTATTCCATCTTTTTTTTTTTTAACTTAAAAAGTCTACAAATAAATGAACTTTCATCTTTTTTATAGGTATAATGGTGCTTTACCTAATGGAGACCGAGGCCGGAGGAAAAGCAGATTTGCTCTCTATAAGCGGCCAAAGGCGAATGGAGTCAAACCCAGCACGGTCCATGTGATATCCACGCCACAGGCCTCCAAGGTAGGTGGCTCCTGAGGAGTTGGGAAGGCCTTGGTAAGTGGTGACTTGTGGTCACTTCTTGTCTTTGGCTGCTCTTTTTTTTTTTTTCTTTCCAGTTGCTTTTTTTTTTTTTTTCCTCTTGGTCGGACAGTTTTTCAATCATTGAGGGTACTTTGGGAAGGGCTGTCCTGTGCTTTGTATGTGGAGCCACATCCCTGGCTTTGACCCATTAGATGCCAATAGCACGTCATCCCCACCCCCAACTACCACTGCTGTTGGGACAACCAAACAAGACTCCAAACACTGCCACATGGCCCCTGAGTGGTGAGGTGGGCAAACCCGCCCCTCCTGCCCGCCCCCCCATGATGGACCACTGCTTGGGATATAGTGGAACCAACATATATCAATTTAGAACAGTTGTGGTTGAAAGATAAATGATGTTCTTTATCCTAAAGAGTTTTTGTATTAAGTCTTAGTAGAACCTCATTAAGATTTGTTATTTTCCTTCTGCTTATTGAGTAGTAGTTTTCATATAATCTGCATGTACAGGGAATTGAATTTGGGTGATTATTAGAAAGACTGGAAGTAAACAGAGCTAAGTGCCACAAGAAGTTTACTACATCTCCTCTCATAGGTTTGAAGTATATAAAATGTTAATTTTTAGGACTACTTTATTTTCTGATCTATAAATGGAGGAAAAACCTGAGTTTCCATTCTGGTTGACATGTTCCATCTATTTAGATAGGACAGTTTTCTAATTAAATAAATTAGCATGTAATATAGTTTCCTTTTCTATAAAAATTATATTCCCCTGAAATATTTCATATGGTGCATTGGCTATACATGTTTATCTTAATGGGTTTGGACCATCTGGAATAAATAAGCCTTGATTCCCATTTTTACTGAAAACCCATAGTTCAAAGGGAAATGAATAGCTTCAAGGAAGCATGCATGGTATTTATGTTCTGTCCTAGAAACTGATGACCTTGGTTAATGTTTTTATTAAAAAAAAACCTCCTGTTGCTGTTTCTGAAGCCGTGACATGGGAAAAGTTTGCTAGAATGTACCAATGAAAGTTGTCTTGTATTAATGGGGGAATGGTTAGATCCAAAAATATCATACACCAAGGAAACAGGAAAGATTAATACTTAGCAGCCCAGTTTTTGGCTAGAGAAAGGGAAATAAAGTAAGTTCTAGGAAGGGAAGGACGCTTGATAGGGAAAACAAAGGAAATGAGCTTTACAAAAGATTCTGAGAAAAGAGGAAGTGAAGTAACAATCTTGGAAGGTTAAGGAAGTAGGAGAAATATCTTATAGTCAAAAAATATTTGGAGGATACCAAGACAAAAGTTTTTAAGCATGTGATCAGTGCCAAAAATGTTCTGATATTACAGACCTGGTCCTCACATTTGTCCATGGGTTGGCATTCGTCTTTCCTTCCTCTAGCTTTGTGCCTGTATTTTCCTTAAGCTGAGATTTGATATTGATACAATGGCTTCAGATATTTAAGAACATTTTTATAGAAACCTTTGACTACTCAGGTTTCGTGTTGTGATAGAATATGAAATACAGCTGGAATTTGAAGTAGACCTTCTGGTAGTTCCTACCAGAAGATCAGTGGCTTTTCCTTGTTCGTTACCCACCTCCATCGGCTCCAATTTTAGCTTTTTATAAAACTTTAACCTTTTATACCTAGATTTTACCTGAAGTCCTTTAAGTTCTAAAACTTTTGGTCTCAATCTGTGTTTATGGTCTACATTATTAGTTAGGGGAATTGGTCTTTGGTCTTGTAACCTGGGAAAAACCTATATTCTCAGGGCCTCGGTTTCCTTCTCTACAAAACGAATGAGTTGGCTGTAGACAGGAGCCATGCCGAGTCAGGCAAGATACTTTGGTTATAAGCAACACATGATTCTGTGCTTGAAAAAAAAAAAAGGCAAAAATGGAGAAATTATTTAAGGTTATAGGGTAAGAACAGTTCAGAGAGGAGAACCAGACTATCATATCAGCAGGGGTTAATACAGACATTCTTGAAAGAGTGTTGTAAAATGACTTGGCTCTACCTTCTGTCTCTCTTTGAGGTTTTTAATTGTCAGGAAAGGGACTCTAGTAGGCCTGGCCGGGATCAATCAACTATGACCAGACACACTTACTGTGAGCAAATCAAGTAGCCCTTACTGCCTTTTCCTTCTGCATCTTACTCCTCCTGGTACCTTGTACATCGAGGGCCTCCTGCACGGGACTCCACCCTACCTGAGCCTAGCACCTCGGTCACAAATTCCTCACTCCTCTGTTCCCACTCCTGGTCAGCTGTGTCTTTCCCCTCCTGTTCTACCTGCTCTGTTGACCCCCAGACAAAGTCTCTTTAGACATTTAACCTTTCCTTCAAATGTTTCTCCTCCTGCCTCACCTGAACTGAATGCTGACTCCCCCCCCCCACCGGTATAGTCTTTTTCCTCTTTTCTCCCGTCCCTCCAATCTTTCCAGTTTATGGAACTAGAATGATTTCATTCTGCTTCCATTTCAGACTGTTCTTTAACCCTGCATTATTGATATAAGCTGCCTCTCCCCCTGCGTCTCTTGACCTCACTGACCTGCACTCCACTCTTTTGCATATTTCAGTGATTGTGTACCTCATCGCATCTGTTTCCCCTAACCTGTGTTAAACCATACATTGGCATCTGTGGGTTATAATACTTTAACTCTTCCAGTTTGACTGTCCCTTCACTTTTCCCACTTACATAGTGTACCTTAGAGTCCACTGTCGCTTGAAAGTGACCATACTCTCCAGTACATTCTTACTTGTATATACACAGCTTTCTTATCTAATCTTAAGACCTCTACCCCTTCAGCCTGTCCTTGGCTCGTTGTTAGCCCACTTGGGTTTTCCAGTTATGTGCTGACTTCACCCTGGATTCCTTTTCTCTGGTGCCTGTTGGCACCCCTCTTGGTGAGTCCCTGCCTCCGGGCCCGTCCCAGGCCCTGCTGGCCTGTTTTTGCTTCTTTCTTGCTCACCCCATTTCCTGTCAGAATGCCAGGGATTGTGGTGTACTTGGCAAAAGCTATTGGACCTGAATCAGCCGTGGTTTGTCTGCTCTGAAATTTCTGATTCTGAAATATGGGTAGTGAAAGGGTCCTCTTTGTTTTTTTGTTTGTTTTTTTTTTTTAAATCTTTTTTTTTTTTTTAAAGATTTTATTTATTTATTTGACAGAGAGAGACACATTGAGAGAGGAGCACAGGCAGGGGGAGTGGAGGGGGGAGAGGCAGGCTCCCCGCTGAGCGGGGAGCCCGATGCGGGGCTCGATCCCAGGACCCTGGGACCATGACCTGAGCCGAAGGCAGACGCTTAACGACTGAGCCACCCAGGCGCGAAAGGGTCCTCTTTGATTTGGACTTGTAAACGGGAGACCTAGAAGGGCAGGTGTGGTTACCATTGTTAGTCAGAAGGCCAAGTGCTGATATTCTATGTTGTTTCTTCCCTCTGCCATGCAACCTGGGGCACACCAAGGTGTACCCCCTTGTGGATAGTAGTGGCTGCTGGAAAATGGGGCCTCTTAGTGTTCCGTGCATGCCCCTGTCCACGCAAAGTCCGAGGAGGACAGCAAGGACGTGCCATTGTTGTGTCATCTTGGTTTTGTATACTCGCTCCTTGTGTGCGTATTTGCTCTTGAGATAGCAGTACTCAGATATTTCACTTAGTTCATCATTGTTTAAAGAAAACCTAAAATAAAACCTTGTTTTACTTTTGGCAGTTCTGTTACATAGACATAGGGCATTTAGCAATTTATTCACCATTCATTTATTCAACAAATATTTATCTAGCACTTTTCTGTGGCCAAGCGTCATGCTAGGGATTGGATCTACTGCAGCGTGCAGACCTTGTCTGCATAGAGCGAATTGTCTAGTGAGGAGGCAAACAGTAAATTTCTCATGTGAATACATGCTTAACTGCACGTTGTGAGAAGTGCAGGGCAGGAAAAGACGATGGAGCTGTGAGAACAGGGGTGGAGGGGGGAGCTTGAATGGGGTAGACAGGGCAGGGCCTCTGAGGGCACTTGAGCTTCGAGATGAGGGGTCAGGAGGAGTTACGAGAGCAGAGCGATCTGGAACAGAGATTCGGGTTTTTTTTCTAAAAGGAAACATTGAAGGGTGTTAAGTAGAGGACGTGGCGTAATCAGACTGAGAATTTAAGTCATTTTTTGTTTGGTCATTTCCATTTAAGGCTGTGGGGCAACTGTTGTGCTCCTAACCAGTAAATAGGATGGCGGTGGTGATGGTGACTATTTTGGTAGCAACATGGTTTAAATTTAGCGACATCACTGCGGGGAAAACTCTTCATCATGGTTTTCCCTTGTAGGCTGTGCTTTATTGAAATCTCCTTTTTTGGGCATTTTTACTTTTTAAAAGTGACAGGCTATCCCTTTGTTCCAGTTGGCATATTTCAGAATGGAAAATATCCGTGGTCTTGGAGTGACAGTTTAAAGAGAAGTCAGAACCGTTTAATGTGATCGTTGCCACCAGGACCGCTCTTGAGCTGTTGGCGCTGCAATGGCTTTCCTGGTTGATACTGACACTCTTCTTTATCAGTGAATGATACAGTAGCAATTGAGATGGGATAATATAAACTTCAACGTAAACTCATTAGTTCAAGCTGATTTTGTAGGCTGTAGTGGGGTCTGCTTTGGAAGTATTGTCTGTCCAGCAGTGGGTGGTCTGTCTGTCTGCTGCATGGCTATTCAGAAGCTGCAGCCTTCGGTGCTTTAGGAAACTCCTGTTTATCATTATCCTCAGACTGTTTAATGCAGCTTTTAAGTAGGTTTTTTTTTTTTTTACTTTGTTTTCTTTCATTGTTAATGGACTATAATTCTTGGGTTAGTGGTATCTGGTGTTCTGATGTTTATAAGTTCCAGAAATTCGTTTTATTGTAAAGGGGCAACAAAGTTTGGATAAGTCTTATCCTTGTAGACACCATAAACATGAATATTCTGAATCTGGCAGAAAAAAATTAGTAATAAACTGCA